CACCTAGCTTTTTCTTTTTTTCCCTTTCTTTCCCAGCAAGCTTATTGTAGTTATCCAGACAAAAACCAGCATCACCGCAAACGAAGACAACTCCATGGAAGTTTAGTAGTTTACACATACAGAATACATTGAAGTGCGCAAATAATGCCAATAGCACTCACGTTGAGGGTCGAGTGCATGTGCCAATTTAGCAGCCAGAGCTACAGAATGAATGGGTAGTGTAGTCAATATGCACAGCTAAAAGAGATTTCAGTCGACAGCTGATATGTTCAAACTCACCGGCTTGATGGAGACAGTACACTCCCAGTACAAGCACAATAAGACTAACGATATCGCAGATCTCATCAGGATGTGGTCTTCGAGGCCTGTTGCATGCAACACACAGCCCAACGGAGCCCACCCAGTTCCAGATCAGTTCCAGACAGCCCATTGGATCGAAATTCCATAAGGTTCTTCATGATGCGTCTTGGGTGGAGGTAGGAGAAAAGGAGCACGCAAAAATGTTGCGATGGTAACACGATTTCCACAGGGAGCCGAGTATGAACGAGCCAAAGGGGATACATGAAAAGATGTGGACATTTACTGGTCATTCCATGGGCTTCATAGGAATGACCAGCCTGTTTGCCGAGACCTCGGAGAAGTTGGTTTACATCCATTGGAACATGCAACTACTGCGCAATCCAAAAGGCAGGGTCAAGGCAGGGTCAAGGGTGGGTATATCGACATGTGGGCTTCATTCTTCGAGTCGTTGATGGAGGTCGGGGAAAATGTGGGGGCGGAGGAGGGATCGGGGGGCGATGCAGAGGAAGAAGTAGTGAGGCTGAGGCAGCTTGTCAAGACTCCACAGAGGGTGGGTCCCATGGAACTCGGATTCTTCTCCTGAAAGCAAAATGTGGAGGACCTCGTGCGGATGAGGAAAGACAGCAATCAGGTGGGTAAGAGGAAGGAGGGAGATCATAATGACAACGAGTCATACAATAATGGCCGGTTAGACAACCATATCAGTGAGAAATAGGTCATTGCACGCACAAGAACTACCAAACCATCATTACGCACTTCCAAAAGGTCAGAAGCACGAACAAGAGCAAAATAGTGGTAAGGTCAGTTCTACAAATACTTTACTCCTCTTTGATGATCAAGGCGCTGCTAACCTCCAACTGGGCACAAGACTCGTTTCAAGTTGGCATTCCCCCTCATCGCAACCTAAAGGATCCATGAGTGCTGGTGGCCTCTGGCCATCAAGCACAAGCGCAAAAGCCCTGTATCGTCATAGTCAGAGTTACCACAATTATGACTTTCATCATGCTGCTGCCTAGCGTAGATTCTCCAATGGAATCCCAATCTGAAAGTCTTGCAATCAAGATGAGCATGATTGCATTCAGCTGGACTAACTGATCCACACAGAGATCAAGACGTGAATCCCTGCTACAGCCAAAGCTCTCTCCCTGTCTCTTATACACATCTAGATGTGTATAAGAGACAGGTTCCAAAAGTGTCCTTTGGGACATCCGTTAAAATCAAAAAAGTGCCAAAAAAAAAAAAAAAAAAAAAAAAAAAAAAAGAAGAAGAAGAATAGAACAGGTTCCAATAGTTTGCGGATGGGGAAATCAAGAATTACCAGGCAGTGGCAGGCACCGAAAAAAAAAGCCTTAGAGAATGTGACAGGTGGCATTTCATAGACTTAACAAACCACCTCTAGCATTCCTCCTCCCCCCATGGAGGAACCTCCATGTCCATGACCAATCACATGCCTGACCCCAAAAACTGATCCAAATGTCCAATAGGGAGGCAGGCAAAGACAGATGCACTGCACGTGCGTGCAAACGTCTTACCTCGAGAACATTGAACACCACATAAAGCTTGATTATTGCTTGACCTCGAATCCAATGATAAATGAAGCTTATATCTGAGCACGCAAGCCAACAGAGAAACAAAGTCAGTCTCTCTCTCTCTCTCTCTCTCTCTCTCTCTCTCTCTCTCTCCCCAAACCTGACCCCACTCTCTTCCAAAAAGTGTATATATAGGGAGCGACCAGACTAGAACTCGACATAGAGTTGCACAATGCATGACAGATAAATCCAATCGGAGGCACGACACTGGGCCCCTGCTGCTGATCTTAGCGCAATATGGAGGGCAGTGAACTGTCAGAAAACCTGCTGCCAGAGCACACCTCCACTCAACTTCATGCTAGATGAGTTGAGCACGCTTCAGGACAACTCTGTAAGAAAACTGAAATCTGCATTGCAGACCCTCATCTCCACAGACAACTTTCAAGCTGACGTCAGCATGCGTACGCATACAGCGATATATATATGCTTACCTGCCCTACAAAGGCGTATACACCGTTCCTCCTATCTTATGGATCGCCCATACCATACCAAGCATTGACAGACGGGATAGCACAGGACTTATATCAAGATGTCTTCATAAGGTTGATAGAGCAGTGGACTGACAAACTGGGCAGGCAAGTACATCACTACAGAAGAAATGCCATTGCCTGCCTTCATTGCTCACAGGGATTTCCCCTGCAAAAATCAACAAACAATGCAAAGTCTTCACCCCATTGAAAGAGCAAAAACGACATTGTATAAGCCAACATCAACATTGAACCTTATCATTTAGAGGAAAGTACCAAGGGATAAGAGAAAAAACAAGGGGGGGGGGGAGAACAAACTAATGTGGAATTGGGCGAAGGGGTAACTCTGCATGCAAAGAGAGAGAGAGAGAGAGGACAACGGCAACTTGGAAGGTACCATCTTCACCCGAATAGAGCGGCCGGTCATTATTGCTGTATTTGGGCCAACTTCCAGTCCAGATACATCGATAATTACTGGGTGTTCTATTCGGGTGAATACGGCAGGGAAGGGCACTACAAGGCCCCAGCCAAGTTGAGAGTCCGATTGAGCCTCTCCTAAAAGGAAATGTGGAGGCTCGCATGCCGTCGATAAAATAAAATCGATGACAAGCGGCCTCCAAAAGGGCCCTGCAGCCGATGGCTGGCATGTACTGGTGGTGATAAAAAAACAATCGGACGCTCACACATCGTCGATAAAAAAAATTCAGAGGCTCAACACCAAGGCAAGACTCCTCGAGGAACGATTCACAACATCAGAACAAAGGAACCCACTCGCAGCCGCGGGCTACTTCTCCCCTCCACCGAATAACAAACAATTGCCTCCACAACCAAGGAAGGAGAATCACCCACGACTTCTTCTCGCCAATCAATGTTATACAGTAGAACCCTCTGATGGTGATGAGATTTCCACTGTCCCTATCTACCACAGGTCAACAGATCAGTGTATAAAAGAGAAACATGCACCAGCATCAATCCAGAGCACGAGGTCACTAAAAGCATACAAAGCCACAGAAATGTGGAGGATTCAGAATCTTCAGATTCTTCAGAACCCGTCGCGATCACTAAGACAACACAGCTTCGACGGAATCACTCACGACTGCTTTTCACCAGCCAAGGCCCAAAAAGACACTTTTCAAATTCCAGACGAGTACGGACTGCAACATCAGAACAAAAATACAATACTAATATAGTAATTTATAGATAAGATACTTTATTGCTTTTTAAAATTTTTGATCAATTGAAAATTGAAATAAGAAAATAAGCAGAAAATTTATCATTGGGAAACCATTTTTGTGACTAGGTTCGCAGCAAAGCCAGCTGCACATCTGGACACCCTTCAGAACCTGTTAGGATTTACGACAGCATCACTGCTTCATCACACCGAACCCACCTTGCTTCCAATAGACGGATAGGAGAACAGGGCCACATCATCCGAAGACAGCACACGGATCTCAGCACGACCAGCCACACAACCAGCAACCATCTAGATAAACCATCAGGACAAGGAAGACTCACACAGCTGTGCGTAGGCTTTGCATCCACCCAGGACTGAGTCACAACATATGAGGGTGGTCGCCTACAGGGTACACAAACAGCACCGAATTCTCATCGAAGGCAGTCACACCGGTGGACATACTTAACCTGTTTGTGTTTGTTACATCAGCAGTTGCCTAAGCTGCTTCCTGTTTGTGTTTGTTACATCAGCAGTTGCCTAAGCTGCTTCTACCCATGCACAACCGGTAGCTCATATACATTCCTATAGCACAAAAAGAGGGAAAGAGGGACTCTGCAGCATCAGACCAGAGCACTAGGTTCTCAGCAAAGGCAGCCGCACAAATGTGGCCTGTGCAGACTGTTGGGATCCGGTGAATCATCACAGCTGCCCACGAGTTCCCCCTCACTGGTTTCTACCCACCAACGTTCCAAACACACTTCCAGCATATAAACGGTTGCTGTTTCTAACATCAGACGGCTAGGGTCTCAGCAAAGCCAACCACGCAAGAAAACACTACCGTGTGGCATCACTGCCTGTGAAACAGAACTACGCCATACACAGACCTGGTACAAAACGGGGGTCTCGGCAGCATCAGACCAGAGCACTAGATTCTCAGCAAAGGCGGCCACACAAATGTGGCCTGTACAGACCGTTGGGATCCAGTGAATCATCACAGCTGCCCACGAGTTCCCCGTCACTGGTTTCTACCCGCCAACGTTCCAAACACACTTCCAGCATATAGACGGTTGCTGTTTCTAACATCAGAGGGCTAGGGTCTCAGCAAATGCAACCACGCAAGAAAACACTACCGTGTGGCATCACCGCCTGTGCAACAGAACTATGCCATACACAGACCTGGCACAAAACGGGGGACCCGGCAGCATCAGACCAGAGCACTAGATTCTCAGCAAAGGCGGCCACACAAATCTGGCCTGTACAGACCGTTGGGATCCGGTGAATCATCACAGCTGCCCACGAGTTCCCCATCACTGGTTTACCCGCCAACGTTCCAAACACACTTCCAGCACATAGACGGTTGCTGTTTCTAACATCAGAGGGCTAGGGTCTCAGCAAATGCAACCACGCAAGAAAACAAGACCATGTATCACCGCCTGTGCAACGAAGGAATGAAGCGGCAAGTCAATGAACTCCTTGAAAAAGGATTCATTAAGCCAAGTTCACCCCCCTTCGGCACAAGCTGCCTTTACATCAAGAAACGCGGAACATCCGAACTCCGGATGCGCACAGACTACCGCGCCTTAAATCGGATCACCGGATCACGATCAGGAACAAGTACCCCCCACCTCGGATCTCCGAGCTTCTTGATCGTCTCCATGGAGCCAAATATTTTACCAAAATTGACCTCCGCAGTGGCTTCCACCAGATCCGCATCCGCAAGGAGGACACCCACAAGACCACATTCCGTTCTCGCTTTGGGCACTACGAGTTTCTCGTGACGCCCTTCGAACTCACCAACGGCCCCCCCACATTCCAATCCACCATGAACCACATCTTTTGCGACCTCCTCGAAGTCTGTGACGTTGTTTACCTTGATGGTATCCTTGTCTACAGGCCCACCTTCGAGTCCCACCTTCAACATCTCTGCCAAGTCCTCTCTATCCTCAAAGAGCAAAAATTCTACGCCAAGCTCAGCAAATGCACCTTTGCCACTTCAAGCGTTGAATACCTTGGCCACATCGTCTCCGCTGAAGGTATACACATCACTCGAAGGTCGCCGCCCTCATCGAGTGTCCACCACCCAAGACCCTACTCCAACTTCGCTTATTTCTCGACCTTGCCAACTACTACCGTCCCTTTATCCATAACTTTTCCGACATCTCGTACCCCCTCCACGAACTCACCCGCAAGGACGAACCCTTCACTTGGAACGACCGCCGCCAAAACGCCTTCGACCTCCTCAAACAAACCATCACCACGACCCCCGTCCTCAAGATCACCGACCCCTCTCAACATTTCTACGTTACCACTAACGCATCCGAATTCGCGCTTGGAGCCGTCCCATCCCAACACTTCCCTCGCGACACCTTTGAAACCCCCTCCATCAAAGATTCCCCCACCCACCCCGAGGCTCCAGCCGACGAGTACCCCATCGCCCTCGCTAGCAAGAAGCTCCTTCCTGCGGAGATGAACTACCCCTCCAACGAGAAGGAACTCCTCGTCGTGATCCACGCCCTCAAAGTTTGGCGCCCGTACCTCGACGGGCAATACTTCACCATCCACACGGACAACACCATCGTCTCCTCCATCCTCACCAAAAAAGACATCACGTCGCGCCAAACCCGTTGGTCACTTTCTTGCCCAATTCACATTCACCATTTGCCACACCCTCGGCAAAAGCAACCGTGTTGCCGACACCCTCTCTCGACGCCCCAACCACAAGCCCTCCAAGAAAGTCTACGCCGCCATGACTCATATCCAACTCCTACCATCGCTCCACCACCGCTACACTTAAGGCTACCTCTCTTGCCCGGATTTCTCAACAATCTACAACATAGTTTGTGATCTCGACTCAGTCGTCGACTACTCCCTTCACGACCAACTTCTTTACATTGACACCAAAGGCACTCGCCAACTTTGCATCCCCGACGCACGTGGCCTCCGTACCCAGCTCCTGGTCGAGCATCACGACGCCAAGACTACGGGATACCTCGGTTTCCAAAAAACCTTCAACACCATCTCTTGTTACTTCTACTGGCCTTCCCTACTCGTCGGCATCAAAGCCGACATTCGCTCATGCCCCACGTGTCAAGCCGTCAACCCCCCAAACCGCGCCACGCCCGACAAGCTACAATCATTGCCAATCCCCACCCCCCGGTGGCAGTCCATTTCCATGGACTTCGTCTGTGGTCTTCCCAAGACCGACCGTGAACATGATTGCATCTATGTCATTGTTTGCCGCTTGACTAAACATGCCCACTTCATCCCTTGCACCACATCGCACAGCGCCAAGGACGTCGCCATTCTCTTCTTCGACCATGTCGCACGCCATCACGGTCTTCCCGAGAACATCATCAACGACCGTGACCCTCGCTTCCTTTCATAATTCTGGAAACACCTCTTTAAAGCCTATGGAACCACGCTCAGGTATAGAATTGCATTCCACCCACAGACCGATGGACAAACTAAGAAGATGAACGATATTCTCCAATTCTCGCACGCCATCACGATCTCCCCGAGAACATCATCAGCGACCGTGACCCTCGCTTCCTTTCATAATTCTGGAAACACCTCTTTAAAGCCTACGGAACCACGCTCAGGTATAGCACTGCATTCCACCCACAGACCGATGGACAAACCGAGAAGATGAACGATATTCTCCAAAGAATCCTAGGAAGTATTGTCATCCACATCAACACAATTGGGATTGATTGCTCACCGCCGCCGAGATCGCCTACAACAATGTTGTTTGTCCTTCCACTAGCATGTCCCCATTCTACCTTGACCTTGGCTATCATCCGCGCTTGCCCTCCGACTTCCTGCTCCCCTCGCAACTCGGCCTCCACCCCCCGCCCTTCTCTCAATGAATGGGTAGCAACAATGAACAGACTCCTCAGAGAAGCTACCGAAGCTCTTGAACGAACACAAGAACAACAAGCCAACAAGACCAACAAACACAGACGAGACGTGACATTCGAAGTAGCGGACAAAGTCTGGCTCTCAGCCAAACACTTTGAACCCGAACAGTGCGAACATGGCTTGTCCAAAAAACTCTCAAACAAGTGGCTCGGTCCCTTCCCCATCATTGAACATACCTCCCCCGTCAATTACAAGCTTCAACTCTCCCCTGACATGAGTCGTGTCCACCCTGTCTTCCACGTAGAATACCTAAAAGAATACCATGAATCCCCACCCCAATTCGCTGACCGCCCATATCCTAGACCCCCACCAATCATGTTACCCACAGGCCCTGAATTCGTCGTCGAAGACATCATCGGACGAAGAACTACTCAGGTAACTGACCATCCGAAACCAATCACAAAATACGAACTTAAATGGACAGGATACCCTGACGAAGCATCCACATGGGAACCTCTTGCTAACCTTAAGAATGCTATGAAACTTGTTCGTGCCTATGATCGTGCTCACCCTATATCCTAGATACATAGTATAACTCAAACCCTAACCCTTACATAAACCCCGCCTTGACCCCGCCAAAACCCCGCATTCCTCCTCTATACACACCCCTGCACCCAACAAACCCCTTGCCCCTTGATCTCCCTCTGTCTGATCCGCTCTTGCCTCCGTCTCGCCCCGTTATCCAATTTGTCCTCCACCACATCCTTGTCTCTCTTGTCCAAATCCTCTTTGTGGCCCTTGCGCGTCACCGACGATAATGGATCTAATGGCAAGCGCACGAGGACGATGGCATGATGCAGCTCAGTACGAGGAGATAAGACAGCTGGTTGGCCACCGTGCTGTTCCCTTTGGCCGGCACCTTGGACTCACAGACTTCCAGAGCAGCACCTCTAACATGGACATCAAGATAAGTCTGCGACCTGCTATCCGGATCAGACCTCATCCTAAAACCGTGTAGCGAACGCAACCTGCTACTGGGACAATCAAGCCGAAGCCCTCGTCGTCTACATCACAGAACTGCTGAAGACTGCTTCCTCACCGCCACTCCTGCGACACGCTCCAAGAACTTTCTCAAGACATGTTTTCGCTTTTGACACTTTGTTAGAAACCTGAGACGTTGTTTTCCCCGACCCCTCAGACACCCCAGCACTTGAGCACTGAACAAACAATTTTCTTATTTTTTTTTCCTGTCAAACCTGACAACCTATACCCTTGTAGAACATCAATAGGACTACCCTGGTACTTGTAGAACCTCAATAGGATTACCATGTTACCTGAACATTGCTACTCTCACCCGTGTAGACCCTCACCTCGATAGTACTCCCCTGTTACTCGAGCATTCATTCCCTCATCCCTGTAGAACCTCAATAGGATTACCCTGCTACTTGCATTACTCCCCTTTCCTTTTTTGACCAGTTATCAGCCCCGGCCCGTCCTTCACAATTTCATTGGGTCTTTGGCAGCTGGGACGTTGCCTTCCAAAGGCAGGGGATAGTGTTACGGACTCAGCCAGGGCTCGATCCCTGGTCCGCACGGTACCACCCACCAGGCTGCTATTCTATTTCTTTTGGAGTTTGATCTCCGGTTCCTGACTGTTGGCGCCCCCTGCAGTTGGCCACCGTTCTCAAATCCCGCCTCTGCCACTTTCGGACGTACTTGGCGCCATCCGGCACTCTGGCGCCCAGGCTCAGACGTTTGATTTTCAGTTCAACCCCGAGGCAAATTGGACTTTTGCCCTCGGACTCGATTCAAGTCCGGTCTCAAGCTGAGTTCGGGGACTCAGTTTTTGGCCTCAGTGCTTGTGCTTCAGTGTGACTTGCTGTGACATTGTGTACGAAACCAAGATTACGACTTTGCGACTTTGCGACTTTGTCACTTTGTGTCTGCGTCCGTCCAGCCGTGTCGAGTCCGTGTCGAGTTGAGTAAGTGTGTGTGTGTGCTCTCACTCCTTCCCTCTCTCTTCCCCGACCTCTCTGCTCTACCTACGCCCCGTCACAGTTGCTGTTTCTAACATCAGAGGGCTAGAGTCTCAGCAAACGCAACAACGCAAGAAAACACTACCCTGCGGCATCACCTCCTGTGCAACAGAGCTACGCCATACACAGACCTGGCACAAAACGGGGGACTCTGCAGCATCAGACCAGAGCACTAATTTGTGGCCTACACAGACCGTTGGGATCAGGTGAATCATCACAGCTTCCCACGAGTTCCCCGTCGCCGGTTTCTAGACCAGAGTACTAGTTTCTCAGCAAAGGCGGCCAAAAAAATGTGGCCTATCCAGACCGTTGGGATCAGGTGAATCATACAGCTTCCCGCGAGTTCCCCGTCGCCGGTTTCTAGCCGCCAACATTCCACACACACTTCCAGCATATAGACGGTTGCTGTTTCTAACATCGGAGGCCTAGGGGCTCAGCAAATGCAACCACACAAGAAAAGACTACTGTGCGGCATCACCGCCTAGGCAACAGAACTACACCATACACAGACCTGGCGCAAAACGGGGGACTCGGCAGCATCAGACCAGAGCACTAGATTCTCAGCAAAGGCGGCCACACAAATGTGGCCTATACAGACCGTTGGGATCCAGTGAATCACCACAGCTGCCCGTGAGTTCCCCTTCACTGGTTTCTACTGGCCAACGTTCCAAACACACTTCCAGCATATAGACGGTTGCTGTTTCTAACATCAGAGGGCTAGGGTCTCAGCAAACGCAACAAAGCAAGGAAACACTACCCTGCGGCATCACCGCCTGTGCAACAGAACTACTCCATACACAGACCTGGCACAAACAGGGGACTCGGCACCGGTTTCTACCCGCCAGCATTCCTTTTTTTTTCTTTTTTTTTTATAGATGTGATTTCTTTTTTTGGGATTTTGCTGATGACGATGAACAGCACCCTGAAGAAGATGATGATGATGAGGATGATGGTGACGACCAACTGTGAAAGGCAAACAATGCCCGTCAACATTCCAAACACACTTCCAGCATATAGATTTGCTGTTTCTAACATCAGGGTGCTAAGGTCTCAGCAAACGCAACCACGCAAAAAAACACTACAGTGTGGCATCACCGCCTGGGCAACAGAAGTGCGCCATACACAGACATCGCACAAAACGGGGGACTCCGCAGCATCAGACCAGAGCACTAGATTCT